GTGATTGTGAGGACACATGATGAGCACAGTGATTGTGAGGACACATGAGTACAGTGATTGTGAGGACTCATGAAGAGTACAGTGATTGTGAGGGCACATGATGAGTACAGTGATTGTGAAGACACATGATGAGTACAGTGATTGTGAGGACACATGATGAGCACAGTGATTGTGAGGACACATGAGTACAGTGATTGTGACGACTCATGATGAGTACAGAGATTGTGAAGACACATGATAAGTACAGTGATTGTGAGGGCACATGATGAGCACAGTGATTGTGAGGACACATGAGTACAGTGATTGTGAGGACTCATGATGAGTACAGTGATTGTGAGGGCACATGATGAGTACAGTGATTGTGAAGACACATGAGTACAGTGATTGTGAGGACACATGATGAGCACAGTGATTGTGAAGACACATGAGTACAGTGATTGTGAGGACACATGATGAGTACAGTGATTGTGAAGAAACATGATGAGTACAGTGATTGTGAGGACTCATGATGAGTACAGTGATTGTGAAGACACATGATGAGTACAGTGATTGTGAAGACACATGATGAGTACAGTGATTGTGAGGGCACATGATGAGTACAGTGATTGTGAAGACACATGAGTACAGTGATTGTGAGGACACATGATGAGCACAGTGATTGTGAGGACTCATGAGTACAGAGATTGTGAAGACACATGATAAGTACAGTGATTGTGAGGGCACATGAGGAGTACAGTGATTGTGAAGACACATGATGAGTACAGTGATTGTGAAGACACATGATGAGTACAGTGATTGTGAAGACAAATGATGAGTACAGTGATTGTGAAGACACATGATGAGTACAGTGATTGTGAAGACACATGGTGAGTACAGTGATTGTGAGGGCACATGATGAGTACAGTGATTGTGAGGACTCATGATGAGTACAGTGATTGTGAAGACACATGATGAGTACAGTGATTGTGAGGACTCATGATGAGTACAGTGATTGTGAAGACATGAGTACAGTGATTGTGAAGACACATGATGAGTACAGTGATTGTGAGGGCACATGATGAGTACAGTGATTGTGAAGACACATTACCTGGAGTTTACCTGGAGAGAGTTTCGGGGGTCAACGCCCCCGCGGCCCGGTCTGTGACCAGGCCTCCTGGTGGATCAGCGCCTGATCAACCAGGCTGTTGCTGCTGGCTGCACGCAAACCAACGTACGAGCCACAGCCCGGCTGATCAGGAACTGTCTTTAGGTGCTTGTCCAGTGCCAGCTTGAAGACTGCCAGGGGTCTGTTGGTAATCCCCCTTATGTGTGCTGGGAGGCAGTTGAACAGTCTCGGGCCCCTGACACTTATTGTATGGTCTCTTAACGTGCTAGTGACACCCCTGCTTTTCATTGGGGGGATGGTGCATCGTCTGCCAAGTCTTTACATGATGAGTAAAGTGATTGTGAAGACACATGATGAGTACAGTGATTGTGAGGACACATGATGAGCACAGTGATTGTGAGGATACATGAGTACAGTGATTGTGAGGACACATGAGTACAGTGATTGTGAAGACACATGATGAGTACAGTGATTGTGAGGACTCATGATGAGTACAGTGATTGTGAAGACACATGATGAGTACAGTGATTGTGAAGACACATGATGAGTACAGTGATTGTGAGGGCACATGATGAGTACAGTGATTGTGAAGACATGATGAGTACAGTGATTGTGAGGACACATGATGAGCACAGTGATTGTGAGGACTCATGATGAGTACAGAGATTGTGAAGACACATGATAAGTACAGTGATTGTGAGGGCACATGATGAGTACAGTGATTGTGAAGACACATGATGAGTACAGTGATTGTGAAGACACATGATGAGTACAGTGATTGTGAAGACACATGAGTACAGTGATTGTGAAGACACATGATGAGTACAGTGATTGTGAGGGCACATGAGTACAGTGATTGTGAGGACACATGATGAGCACAGTGATTGTGAGGACTCATGATGAGTACAGTGATTGTGAAGACACATGATGAGTACAGTGATTGTGAGGACTCATGATGAGTACAGTGATTGTGAAGACACATGATGAGTACAGTGATTGTGAGGACTCATGATGAGTACAGTGATTGTGAAGACATGAGTACAGTGATTGTGAAGACACATGATGAGTACAGTGATTGTGAGGGCACATGATGAGTACAGTGATTGTGAAGACACATGATGAGTAAAGTGATTGTGAAGACACATGATGAGTACAGTGATTGTGAGGACACATGATGAGCACAGTGATTGTGAGGATACATGAGTACAGTGATTGTGAGGACACATGAGTACAGTGATTGTGAGGACTCATGATGAGTACAGTGATTGTGAAGACACATGATGAGTACAGTGATTGTGAAGACACATGATGAGTACAGTGATTGTGAGGGCACATGATGAGTACAGTGATTGTGAAGACACATGATGAGTACAGTGATTGTGAGGACACATGATGAGCACAGTGATTGTGAGGACTCATGATGAGTACAGAGATTGTGAAGACACATGATAAGTACAGTGATTGTGAGGGCACATGATGAGTACAGTGATTGTGAAGACACATGAGTACAGTGATTGTGAAGACACATGATGAGTACAGTGATTGTGAAGACACATGAGTACAGTGATTGTGAAGACACATGATGAGTACAGTGATTGTGAGGGCACATGATGAGTACAGTGATTGTGAGGACACATGATGAGCACAGTGATTGTGAGGACTCATGATGAGTACAGTGATTGTGAAGACACATGATGAGTACAGTGATTGTGAGGACTCATGATGAGTACAGTGATTGTGAAGACATGGGTACAGTGATTGTGAAGACACATGATGAGTACAGTGATTGTGAGGGCACATTATGAGTACAGTGATTGTGAGGACACATGATGAGTACAGTGATTGTGAAGACACATGATGAGTACAGTGATTGTGAGGACACATGATGAGCGCAGTGATTGTGAGGACTCATGATGAGTACAGTGATTGTGAAGACACATGAGTACAGTGAATGTAAGGGCACATGATGAGTACAGTGATTGTGAAGACACATGATGAGTACAGTGATTGTGAGGGCACATGAGTACAGTGATTGTGAAGACACATGATGAGTACAGTGATTGTGAAGACACATGATGAGTACAGTGATTGTGAGGACACATGATGAGTACAGTGATTGTGAGGACACATGAGTACAGTGATTGTGAGGACACATGATGAGTACAGTGATTGTGAGGACACATGATGAGTACAGTGATTGTGAGGAACATGATGAGTACAGTGATGTGAGGACCACATGATGAGTACAGTGATTGTGAGGACACATGATGAGTACAGTGATTGTGAGGACACATGATGAGTACAGTGATTGTGAGGACACATGATGAGTACAGTGATTGTGAAGACACGAGTACAGTGATTGTGAAGACACATGATGTAAACAGTGATTATGAGGACACATGAGTACAGTGATTGTGAGGACACATGATGAGTACAGTGATTGTGAGGGCACATGAGTACACGGATTGTGAGGACACATGAGTACAGTGATTGTGAGGGCACATGATGAGTACAGTGATTGCGAGGACACATGAGTACAGTGATTGTGAAGACACATGATGTAAACAGTGATTATGAGGACACGTGTCCAGTGATTGTGAGGGCACATGATGCATACAATGATTGTGAGGGCACATGATGTATACAGTGATTGTGAGGGCACATGATGTGTACAGTGATTGTGAGGGCACACGATGTGTACAGTGATTGTGAGGGCACACGATGTGTACAGTGATTGTGAGGGCACACGATGTGTACAGTGATTGTGAGGGCACACGATGTGTACAGTGATTGTGAGGGCACACGATGTGTACAGTGATTGTGAGGGCCACGATGTGTACGTGATTGTTGAGGGCACACGATGTGTTTCAGTGATTGTGAGGGCACACGATGTGTACAGTGATTGTGAGGGCACATGATGTATACAGTGACTGAGGGCACATAATGCATACAGTGATTGTGAGGGCACATGTGTACAGTGATTGTGAGGACACATGACGTGTACAATGATTTTGAGGACACATGTTGTGTACAGTGATTGTGAGGGCACATGTGTATAGTGATTGTGAGGACACACGATGTGTACAGTGATTGTGAGGACACATGATGTGTACAGTGATTGTGAGGGCACATGATGTGTACAGTGATTGTTAGGGCACATGATGTATATAGTGACTGAGGGCACATAATGTATACAGTGATTGTGAGGGCACATGTGTACAGTGATTGTGAGGACACATGACGTGTACAGTGATTTTGAGGACACATGATGTGTACAGTGATTGTGAGGGCACATGTGTACAGCGATTGTGAGGGCACATGTGTACAGCATTGTGAGGGCACATGTGTACAGTGATTGTGAGGGCACATGTGTACAGTGATTGTGAGGGCACATGATGCTTACAGTGATTGTGAGGGCACATGATGCTTACAGTGATTGTGAGGGCACATGGTGCTTACAGTGATTATGAGGACACATGTGTAGAGTAATTGTGATGGCACATAATGTATGCAGTGATTGTGAGGGCACATGATGTATACAGTAATTGTAAGGGCACATGTGTACAGTGATTGTGAGGGCACATGTGTACAGTGATTGTGAGGGCACATATGTACAATGATTGTTAGGGCACATGATGTATACAGTGATTGTGAGGGCACATGTGTTCATTGATTGTGAGGGCACATGATGTGTACTGTGGAGGAAAGGACGCACAGACGTCTTAAACATTGCTGCTACCCTTCTTCATGCAATAAAAATGACGATGATAAAAGACTATGATAATATTACAGTAACTAGTTGTATCGGTTTGTTCGGGTTTGCCGCTTTCTTATGAATATAAGAATGATAATGCTAAAATGACAATCAAAGTGAAAGGTAGGAACCAATCATTACCTATGTGGCAGAGAGCTACGTGTTTGTCTGAGTGGCCGTCCTCTTGTAGTGTGACTGGCTGAGTGACCGTCCTCTTGTAGTGTGGCTGGCTGAGTGGCCGTCCTCTTGTAGTGTGGCTGAGTGACCGTCCTCTTGTAGTGTGACTGGCTGAGTGGCCGTCCTCTTGTAGTGTGACTGGCTGAGTGACCGTCCTCTTGTAGTGTGACTGGCTGAGTGACCGTCCTCTTGTAGTGTGACTGGCTGAGTGGCCGTCCTCTTGTAGTGTGGCTGAGTGACCGTCCTCTTGTAGTGTGACTGGCTGAGTGGCCGTCCTCTTGTAGTGTGATTGGCTGAGTGGCCGTCCTCCTATAGTGTGACTGCCTGAGTGGCCGTCCTCCTGTAGTGTGCCTGAGTGACCGTCCTCTTGTAGTGTGACTGGCTGAGTGGCCGTCCTCTTGTAATGTGACTGGCTGAGTGGCCGTCCTCTTGTAGTGTGACTGGCTGAGTGGCCGTCCTCTTGTAATGTGACTGGCTGAGTGGCCGTCCTCTTGTAGTGTGACTGGCTGAGTGGCCGTCCTCTTGTAATGTGACTGGCTGAGTGGCCGTCCTCTTGTAGTGTGACTGGCTGAGTGGCCGTCCTCTTGTAGTGTGACTGCCTGAGTGGCCGTCCTCTTGTAGTGTGACTGGCTTCGCGGTCGTCCTCCTGCAGTGACTGGTTGAGTGACCGCTCCTGTGCCTGGTGGAGGTGGAGTGACTGCACTTGGACACACTCAAGCCTTGTAATCTCGCCTATTACATTTTCATGAACACTTTACCAACGATTCTTTACTATCAGCTCAGTAATAATCCAGTATTATAAAGGTAAATTGCTCTTTATCATTACAGTTATTATACACGTACTTGCCCTTCAATCATTATTATTGAAAAAAGAAGCATGCACTTGAAGGTGCTTGATGCTGGTGAAGAGATATTAATCCAAGGCACTGTCCTACTTTACCTTGGATTAAAATTGACTGTCTCCCATTCCCCACCCAAGGATGCTGTACGACCTCTACGGGCTTAGCAATTCCCATCAATCTATCAAGAATTATCGTACACGATAGCACCTCTCTGCTGCCGTGTATAAACACCATAATACACATAACAAGGGGTCGAACTCCATGTTAAGTCAGCGTTATGGGATCTAATCAGACATTTCATCTAATTGTACTTTTCAACACTGGAATCTATCCTGATTCTAGAATAAGAATGGCGGCGCTACATATTCCTAGATGGATTTCAATTTCCGCAATAACTAGTATTATGAGGAGTAAAGTGTTTGAGTTGAGTTTATTATGAGTGCAGGACTCGTGACTGAGACACTGACACACTGCTACAACCTCAGTTAACTATTCAAGAAGCCGGAAAATCTTGATGGAATTTTTGAAAAGTTTATCAAGTTTATTCAGACTCTTATATACGTGACTGTTGTCATCACCTTAATGGTGTGGGGAGAAGGGTGGTGGTTGTGGGGAGGAGGGTGGTGCTTGTGGGGAGGGTGGTGGTGCTTGTGGGGAGGAGGGTGGTGGTGCTTGTGGGGAGGAGGGTGTGCTTGTGGGGAGGGTGGTGGTGCTTGTGGGGAGGAGGGTGGTGGTGCTTGTGGGGAGGAGGGTGGTGCTTGTGGGGAGGGTGGTGGTGCTTGTGGGGAGGAGGGTGGTGGTGCTTGTGGGGAGGAGGGTGGTGATGCTTGTGGGGAGGAGGATGGTGGTGGTGCTTGTGGGGAGGAGGGTGGTGATGGTTGTGGGGAGGAGGGTGGTGGTGCTTGTGGGGAGGAGGGTGGTGGTGGTTGTGGGGAGGGTGGTGGTGCTTGTGGGGAGGAGGGTGGTGGTGGTTGTGGGGAGGGTGGTGGTGCTTGTGGGGAGGAGGGTGGTGGTGGTTGTGGGGAGGGTGGTGGTGCTTGTGGGGAGGAGGATGGTGGTGGTGCTTGTGGGGAGTAGGGTGGTGATGGTTGTGGGGAGGAGGGTGGTGGTGCTTGTGGGGAGGAGGGGGGTGGTGGTTGTAGGGAGGGTGGTGGTGCTTGTGGGGAGGAGGGTTGTGGTGCTTGTGGGGAGGAGGGTGGTGCTTGTGGGGAGGGTGGTGGTGGTTGTGGGGAGGAGGGTGGTGTTTGTGGGGAGGGTGTGGTGCTTGTGGGGAGGAGGGTGGTGCTTGTGGGGAGGGTGGTGGTGCTTGTGGGGAGGAGGGTGGTGGTGCTTGTGGGGAGGAGGGTGGTGGTGCTTGTGGGGGAGGGTGGTGGTGGTTGTGGGGAGGGTGGTGGTGCTTGTGGCAGTGATTGTTGTGATGGCGGTGGTTGTCGTTATTGTTGTAGTGTAATTGTTGTGGTTGCTGTGGCTGTGACTATTGTTGTATATGTGGTAGATGCTGTGGTGGTTATTATAGGTGTGGTGGTTGCTGTAGTTGTTGTGGGTGTGGTGTTTATTGTGGTTGTGGCTATTGTTGTAGATATGGTAGTTGCTGTGGCTGTGGTGGTTATTGTAAGTGTGGTGGTTGTTGTGATTTCTGTGGTTATTGTAGGTGTGGTGGTTGTTGCGGGTGTGGTGGTTGTTGTGGGTGTGGTGGTTTTGTGGTTGTGGTGGTGACCACCCCGGCTGCACCTACCATCAACACTATGGTTGTTGTGGTTGTGGTGGTGACCACCCCGGCTGCACCTACCATCAACACTTTGGTTGTTGTGGTTGTGGTGGTGACCACCCCGGCTGCACCTACCATCAACACTATGGTTGTTGTGGTTGTGGTGGTGACCACCCCGGCTGCACCTACCATCAACACTATGGTTGTTGTGGTTGTGGTGGTGACCACCCCGGCTGCACCTACCATCAACACTATGGTTGTTGTGGTTGTGGTGGTGACCACCCCGGCTGCACCTACCATCAACACTTTGGTGTTGTGGTTGTGGTGGTGACCACCCCGGCTGCACCTACCATCAACACTGTGGTTGTTGTGGTTGTGGTGGTGACCACCCCGGCTGCACCTACCATCAACACTGTGGTTGTTGTGGTTGTGGTGGTGACCACCCCGGCTGCGCCTACCATCAACACTGTGGTTGTTGTGGTTGTGGTGGTGACCACCCCGGCTGCACCTACCATCAACACTATGGTTGTTGTGGTTGTGGTGGTGACCACCCCGGCTGCGCCTACCATCAACACTGTGGTTGTTGTGGTTGTGGTGGTGACCACCCCGGCTGCACCTACCATCAACACTATGGTTGTTGTGGTTGTGGTGGTGACCACCCCGGCTGCACCTACCATCAACACTATGGTTGTTGTGGTTGTGGTGGTGACCACCCCGGCTGCACCTACCATCAACACTATGGTTGTTGTGGTTGTGGTGGTGACCACCCCGGCTGCACCTACCATCAACACTATGGTTGTTGTAGTTGTGGTGGTGACCACCCCGGCTGCACCTACCATCAACACTATGGTTGTTGTGGTTGTGGTGGTGACCACCCCGGCTGCACCTACCATCAACACTTTGGTTGTTGTGGTTGTGGTGGTGACCACCCCGGCTGCACCTACCATCAACACTGTGGTTGTTGTGGTTGTGGTGGTGACCACCCCGGCTGCACCTACCATCAACACTGTGGTTGTTGTGGTTGTGGTGGTGACCACCCCGGCTGCACCTACCATCAACACTGTGGTTGTTGTGGTTGTGGTGGTGACCACCCCGGCTGCACCTACCATCAACACTATGGTTGTTGTAGTTGTGGTGGTGACCACCCCGGCTGCGCCTACCATCAACACTATGGTTGTTGTGGTTGTGGTGGTGACCACCCCGGCTGCGCCTACCATCAACACCATTATCACCATTACAGTAGATGGAACACTTCTCACTTGAATAACTCATATGGTTCTTGGGATGTGTCAATACAGAGTTCTCAGGAAAGCAGTTCTTCTCATTTTAAAGTTTAAACTAAGTCATGGTAGCTGAATCATAGCCACACAATTGCTCAGAAAAGAAATCAATGTAGGAATGAGAGAATGACTTGACCAGGACGTTACTGCTTTAGCATCACCAAAGAGTTAATTTAACTTTATATAAACCAAGTGACATCTAGTACGATTTTTATTATATAAATATGAACTAACCTGATTACAGTTGCAGGGGTCGAGACACAGCTCCTGGCCCCGCCTCTTCACTGAGTTCTACTAGGTCCTCTCTCTCCCTGCTCCACGAGCTTTATCATAACTCATCTTCAAGCTATGTATGGTTCCTGTCTCCACTACCTCACTTGCTAGGCTATTCCACTTCCTGACTACTCTATGACTGAAGAAATACTTCCTAACATCCCTTTGACTCATCTGGGTCTTCAACTTTTAATTGTGACCCCTTGTTTCTGTATCCCCTCTCTGGAACATCCTGTCTGTCCACCTTGTCTGTTCCACGCAGTATTTTGTATGCCGTTATCATGTGTATGTATGTGTGTGTGTGTGTGTGTGTGTGTGTGTGTGTGTGTGTGTGTGTGTGTGTGTGTGCGTGCGTGCGTGCGTGCGTGCGTGCGTGCGTGCGTGCGTGCGCGCACGCACGCAAGTAACATTCCTAGTACGAGTTAGTTTAATATATATTATGCACCCCATACCCATGGTGTGGGCGGTACATAATAGGTCCAGGGACTGGGTAGCAAAGTTTTGATAGCTAAACAAGTCACATTTCGTAATGAATTTTTGACATGTTTATATCTGGTCACAGTCGTAATGTATGAGAATGGTTTGGTGTGTATATATGGTACATAAACCACACACAACTCACTTATCCCAGTTAATATTCCTTCCACATCCCACCCCAGAAAGGTGGCTTAAGTTATACCCTGCCCACTTGCTGCAGTTACTCAACCAACTCACTTCCTGCAGTTACTCAACCAACTCACTTCCTGCAGTTATTCAACCAACTCACTTCCTGCAGTTACTCGACCTCCAAGTCATGACTCACGAGTAATTAAGATTAAGATAAGACAATCTGTTAACACTTGTATCTCGACTTACTTTTTAACTTAACAAAACTAAGTACATCCGTAGTATGTTACTAAACTACTTTATGTCATAGTTACATAGTGGAAACTAAAGCTAGCTATGTTTCCATGTCATGTTTCGTCACAAAGGCAAAGAACTATATGACCCATACATGTTTAGCGCACAGAAGGGGTTTCTTGCGGCTTTAAGACTTCAGTAGGGTAATGGAGATATCGTTTAATATTATGTTAATTAAAAGTTCAGCAGGTACAAGAGTTTCAAAACTTTCGCTCCAGCAGAGCTGGAACTTTTACTTGGAAATTAACCTTGCTTTCTGTACTGGCAGTGAGCTAAGAGTGTGGTGGTACTATTATCAGTTTTGTGGCATCATTATCAGCTTAGTGGCATCTAGTATTATCAGTGGTGGTACCAAGATAGTGTTTCAGTAAAGGTAACTCAGTGTGTCTCAGTACTGAGCTGTCTCTCACACTACTGGTGAGGTGACGTGTGGGGATACAACTATACTGACACTTACTGCTTGTTGGTTTTATTTTGTAACTATTGAAGAAGACAACTCTGTCACCTCCCTCCTGCTACACTCTACTCAGGCTATCGTCCGCCTAGTGGATACTGACAGTCTTCACTTCCGGACTAACATCTCTCAGAAGCCAAGATGTTTGACGTCTTCGGTGACCTCAAAAAGCAGATTACAACCTCAGGGTAAGCCAAAAATACCCCAAGTCAAAATTAAAGTCTGGAGAGTGACGATTCGTTCAGTCAACAAATATTTCTTCTCTTAGGGGCTGATCTTTGAAATGACCTGAGTTATGAAAGTAGATCTGAGATGCCTAGATTTTTAAAATGTTTTAATAATATTGCTTATTAAAGCTTTTTATTTGTAAAGCCACTTGCCATAGTTACATGGGTAGACCTAATAAAACGAACACTGCAACAAGCACACTAACATATAGTTAACCTTTGTCACCATGTAATTCTTAACATAACAGTGAATTTACACTGTGCGGGTGTTCCTACCATGTAACTCTTATACAGAATGGTGTAGCCACACACTGAGAATGTTCTCACCATGTAACTCACAAAGGATAGTATGGCTGAGCACCGCAAGTACATTCACTTTCACTTAAAAGGCATTTCATCTTTGGTATCATTGCCTTCAGGGCGACCAAGCCACGGGTCTCATCGCTGGCACTGTTCACTGCCAAGTTGTGCATGTTGCTGACGCTGATGGCATGTGTGCTGGTCACAGCCAAGAACTACATCGGTGACAACATCAACTGCATCACTGGCCACGAGAAACAGGAACACAAGGCCATAGAGACGTACTGTTTCATCGCCTCCACCTTCACCCTGGTCGATCTCAACGCTGTGGTGAGTACCCACATCCCTCCATACTATGTGCTCACCTACATGTAGCTGTAGAGGTCAAGTCTTAGCTCCTGGCCCCGCCTCTCAACTTGCCGTTTACCAGATTCATTTCCTCATGAGCCCTATCGTACCTGCTCTGAAAACTAGTCTCCACCACTTTATCGTCAAGGTCAACCCTTTTCCCTAACACCGTGAGGCAGAAAAATACTGCCTGACATCCCTGTGGCTCATCTGTGTCTTTAACTTCCAACCCAGGCCGCTGTGTACCGAGGCGTTTCCTCGGTAGGGATACGCAAGTGTTGAAGATGTGCAGAATTTTATCTCCCCGCACACATAAGGGGGATTACCAATAGACCCCTGGCTGTCTTCAAGAAGGCGCTGGAAAGGCACCTAAAGTCAGTACCTGACCAGCCGGTCTATGGTTCGTACGTCAGTTTGCGTGCGGCCAGCAGTAACAGCCTGGTTGATCAGACCCTGATCCACCACGAGGCCTGGTCTCAGACCGGGCCGCGGGGCCGTTACCCCCTGAAACCCTCCCCAGGTGTGTCCCCAAGTACCTTTTACGGACTCTAAAATATCTTATCCCTGTCTACCATACGATTTCCGTTGTTTTTCTTATGTTATCATGTCTCCCTGGTTCTTCTGTCCTCCAGTGTCGTTGAATAAATTTAAGCCAGTCTATCCTCGTAGCTTTATCCCTTAGTTCTGGAACTAGTCTCGTTGCATACCGATTTTGAAGGAGGAGCTGGATGGGTCACAGCTTCAAATCCCTCGTGGAGCACTCGTATTGTTAATGTGTGGATCCTGAGTGGAAACCCAGGTGAGGGGATCTTAATCTAAAGCATTTGAGCTGCCCTTCCCTTTCTCGGATCAAATCCCTAGGGCTTTAGCACTTCCCCATTACCAAACTAACACTGGGAAACAGAAACATTGTCAACATGTACTAGCGAAGAACTGTCATATAAGATAGCCTTGAGTCTCCCTAAGATAACAGCTTCAAGACGAACATTAACATTTCGGCCGTTCCCTAACTTGAAAAAATCGAATTTGATGCTTGCTTACGCAGCTCAAGACAACAAACAGGCAGAACCTGGATAGGTAGAACCTGTGTAGGTAGAACTTGAGCAGGCAAGACCTGGGTTTGTATAAGTGTGTGCATAAATAGACGGTAAGAGCGAGAGAGACTGAAAGTGAGTCACTCTTTCCCTGGCTAGCTGTAGTCCACCCTCTTGTGAGTCCTCACTTCCTCAAGACACCCTGGCAGGTTTCAGTCCACCTTGGTGTGAGTCGTCCCGTCCAAGACTTGCACTCTCCCTGGTAAGTATCAGTCTACCATGGTGTGGGTCATCCCGTGCCCAAAACTAACACTCTCCCTGGCAGGTTGCAACCCACCCTGCTGTGGGTCCAGCCGTCACTTTCCCTGGCAGGTTTCAGCCCACCCTGGTGTGGGTCCAGCAGCCCCCAAGACTAACACTCCCTGGCAGGTATCAACCCACCCTGGTGTAGGTCCTCCGGTGCCCAAGACTAATACTCTCCCTGGCAGGTATCACCCACCCTGGGGGGGGGGGTCCAGACCCCCCAAGACTGACAGGGGGCGTGAAGTCGAGGCTGCCTGCGTCGTCACGCTTACTCCCATGGGTACCGTGGTGTGGTGGGCTGCAGGCTGCGTCTACTATTCCCCCTCGGTTGTGGACAAAAATAGACAAGGGGTTTTTCCCGGCACTCTCTGCAATTGGACAAAAGGGCCACCGGTGCGTCACCAAAAAGTTAGTCCGTGAGTATACCTTCCTAGTTTATATTGTGTATCCCTTGTGGGTTTTGCGCTTCTTTTTGATTATAATATATATATATAATTATATATATATATTATAAAAATATATATATTTAAAAAATATTATAAATATTATTGTAATAAAAATAATGTATATATATATATATATATTTTATTTTATATATTAAAAATATATATATAATATATAATATATATATAATTAATAATAAAAATTTAGGGAGGTACCACCCCTGAACTGTCAAGGGGCCATCTCCTCAAGAAAAGAATAAACTTTCTTCGGAAAAAATAGGTTCTCCCCGAAGCTGTTTTAGAATTTTTCTCCACCCCCCAAATATATATATAATATATATAACTAATAATATATTAATAAAATAAAAATAATATTAATATATGCAAAAAAAAACCCCTCGAAAAAATAGAAAATTCCAATAGAGAAAACCCTCCAATGTTTTTTAAAAAAATTAGAAAGTATATCAAGAAGTCCATGGGCGACAGGGGAAAATAATTTAATTTTTTCATAAAAAGCATTTTTTACAAAAATATATTTCCTTTTGGGTTTTTTTTAAAATTTAAACCAATTTTTAATTAAATAGAATTTTGGTAGAATTAAAAAACATGGACAAATAAATACTTTGGGGGGAGTTTTTCAAAGGGTATCCAAGTTGGCTCGCCCCGCGTCAGTGTTTAACCTTGTGGGGGCTGATAGTGAGGTGCTGGCCGACCCCTTGTATAGCTTCCTTGGATGCTTCACTTTCATAGTTCCTTGATAATGTGATTTAGTCCGAAAGCGCTTGGAATTTTTTCTATTCTTTCAGAGTGGTTGTTTTGCATATTTTGAAAATCACCTGTTTTCTGTGTTTATTGCATATATATATATATATATATATAATATATATATTATATATAATAAAATTATATATATATATATATATATATTTATATATTTATTATCACCTGGCCGATTCCCACCAAGGCAGGGTTGGCCCGAAAAAGAAAAATTTTTCACCTTCATTCACTCCATCACTGTCTTGCCAGAAGGGTGCTTTACACTACGTTTTAAACTGCAACATTAACAACCCCTCCTTCAGAGTGCAGGCACTGTATTTCCCCATCTCCAGGACTCAAGTCCGGCCTGCCGGTTTCCCCTGAACCCCTTCATAAATTTTTACTTTGCTCACACTCCAACAGCACGTCAAGTATTAAAACCATTTGTCTCCTTCACTCCTATCAAACACGCTCACGCCTGCCTGCTGGAAGTCCAAGCCCCTCGAAACAAAACCTCCTTTACCCCCTCTCTCCCCAAACCCTTTTCCCTAGGCCGACCCCTCCCCCGCCTTCCTTCCACTACAGCTGATGCACTCTTGAAGTCATTCTGTTTCGCTCCATTCTCTCTACATGTCCAAACCACCTCAACAACCTTCCTCAGCCCTTTTGGACAACAGTTTGGTAATCCCGCACCCCCTCCTAATTCCAAACTACGAATTCTCTGCATTATATTCACACCACACATTGCCCTCAGACATGACATCTCCACTGCCTCCAGCCTTCTCCCCGCTGCAACATTCATCACCCATGCTTCACAACCCATATAAGAGCGTTTGGGAAAAAATATACTCTCATACATTCCCCTCTTTGCCTCCAAGGACAAAGTTCTTTGTCTCCACAGACTCCCAAGTGCCCTTTCACTCTTTTCCCCTATCAATTTTATGATTTCACCTCTCTTTCTAGACCCATCCGCTGACAGTCCCCTCCCAAATATCTGAATACATTCACCTCCTCCATACTCTCTCCCTCCCAATCTGATATTCAATCTTTCATCACCTAATCATTTGTTATCCCATAACCTTATCTTTACTGTATTCACCTTTAATTTTCTTCTTTTGCACACCCTTCCAATTCATCCACCAATCTCTGCAACTTCTCTTCAGAATCTCCCAAGAGCACAGTGTCATCAGCAAAGAGCAGCTGTGACAACTCCCCCTTTATGTGTGATTCTTTATCTTTAACTCCACGCCTCTTGTCAAGACCCTCGCATTTACTTCTCTTACAACCCCATCTATAAATATATTAAACAACCACGGGGGGACATCACACATCCTTGTCTAAGGCCTATATATATATATATATTATATATATATATATATATATATATATATATATAAAATTATAAAAATATATATATATATAAAAATGTCGTGCCGAATAGGCAGAACTTGCGATCTTGGCTTAAATAGCAACGCTCGTCTTGCCATATAGGGCAAGTTGAAAATTTGTGTATGCAATAATTTCGCCAAAATCATTCTGAATCTACGAAAAAAAATATATTTCACTGTGTTTGTTAGTATTAAAATTATTGTAAACAAATCTAAAATACATTTAGTTGGGTTAGGGTAAAATAAATTGTTCTTGTTAATAATAAGGTTAGGTAAGTTTTCTAAGATTCTTTTTGGTTTCAACATTAAAAATTTTTACATGAACATTAATGAAAAAAAATTATCTTTTAACGTATAGGAAAAAATTTCGAAAGGACTTAATTTAAAGAGTTCTTGCTAATTGACCAGTTTTACATATTCGGCACGACATTGTATATATAATTTTATATATATTTTTATATATATATATATATATATATATATATATATATACACTTCTCTTGACTCTTTGTTCTGTTCCTCTTAAAATACTTGTCCAAAAACATGAAAGAGCCCAGATTTTCTAATTTTTCTCTTTTTATATATCTTTATTATTTATTGAATTAAACTTGTATAAATAATTCACCTGAAGAAAAATAGGCACTTGCACATTAGTCGTTTGTTGTGGGTCGCATCCTGGGGTATAACACCAATAAGAATAAGGAATACTCTTTGAATTTTTATTAACTTTCCGTGATTAAATAATCTTAAGGGTATTTAATGCTTCTACTAATGTTTTAGTCAATATTTTAGTAGTAATTTTGTCAGTAGCTATAAGTTGTAGGGTTCTCGATATCTGTTTTTAAGCAAAATTTCTGTTTCATGCGCTGTATGACCCTTTGTGGGTTCGCTGCTTCCTCGTGGATTTAATAAAAACAATCTTATTTCCTGGTGCAGATCGAGAGCTCTGCTCGCTACTTCGCCAGCTCACTTACCACCCACAGGGGCTACGGCATATCTTTCCTCCTATGTGAGTGTCTGGTGTTCGGGGTGTCGGTGGGAAACTTGTTCTTCACTAACACCTTCCTCGGGGGAGAGTTCTTCAAGTTCGGTGCCTCAGCTATCAAGTACTTGGGACACGACGCTGCAGACATCAACAACCCTCTCAACGAGATCTTCCCCAAAGTGAGAACCTTCACTCACCTCCCAGCACCACCTCCGGTGACACATTCACACATTCTCCTCTACATATCTCCAACATGACCATTCACTTCCAACACTCTTCTACAAACTCTCACCCCAGGTCCCCCACTCACCTACTCTTCCATATACACAAAATGATATAATTAATATAATTTAATATAATAATATCAACAAACAACAACTATAATCTGTTTTGTCTGCAGTGTATCACTAGTGTGGTAAAGAGGGAGCTCTCTAGATATAAAATCAGTAAGTGCTTCAGACAAGGAAGAGAGTTTTTGTAGAACGGAAATAACTAAGTTCAGTGATGCCAGAAATAAATCAGAAAACGTTTCAATCTACTTTTAAGCATCGAAATATACAATAAAAGCACGCTTAAAATAGTTCTGCAAAATATAATATTTGTGGAAAATTACATTTATATGTATGTATCAATATGTACATAACAATAAATGAACATAGATAATTATTATTTATCAGTTAGACAAGTA